GAGGTAATGATCAATGGGTGCGGATGGGGGCATTCGTATTGCGACGTTAGAGGTGAAATTCTTGGATCGTCGCAAGACGGGCTTAAGCGAAAGCATTTGCCAAAAACGCTTTCATCGATCAAGAACGAAAGTTAGAGGTTCGAAGGCGATCAGATCCCGCCCTAGTTCTAACCATAAACTATGCCAGCTAGCGATCCGCCGAAGTTACTTCTATGACTCGGCGGGCAGCTTCCGGGAAACCAAAGCTTTCGGGTTCCGGGGGAAGTATGGTTGCAAAGCTGAAACTTAAAGGAATTGACGGAAGGGCACCACCAGGAGTGGAGCCTGCGGCTTAATTTGACTCAACACGGGAAACCTCACCAGGCCCGGACACCGGAAGGATTGACAGATTGAGAGCTCTTTCTTGATTCGGTGGGTGGTGGTGCATGGCCGTTCTTAGTTGGTGGAGCGATTTGTCTGGTTAATTCCGATAACGAACGAGACTCTGTCCTGCTTAATAGCCGAAAGAACGCACGGAGGCGCACGCCCGGCGGCGCGCTTCGCGCGTAGTCGTCGCGGTCGTGTCGTCGTCGTTCGTTCAAACACAGGCATCTCGAAGGCCGGCGTTCCTCGCGTGCCTCCCGCGCGATCAAACGTCTCCCGGCGCGTCGTACCTCGGTGCGGCGCGTACGTCGCCGTCCGGTCGCCCAGCGGCCGCGTCGGAGCGACGGGGGACGCGCGCGTGCGACGGTTGCACGAGCGCACGGTTCTTACACTGTCTGCGGACAAACATATCTTCTTAGAGGGACAAGCGGCTCGAAGCCGCGCTATAGAGAGCAATAACAGGTCTGTGATGCCCTTAGATGTCCTGGGCCGCACGCGCGCTACACTGAAGGAATCAGCGTGTGCGCAGATAGCCCTCGGCCGAGAGGCCCGGGTAATCCGCTGAAACTCCTTCGTGCTAGGGATTGGGGCTTGAAATTCTTCCCCATGAACGAGGAATTCCCAGTAAGCGCGAGTCATAAGCTCGCGTTGATTACGTCCCTGCCCTTTGTACACACCGCCCGTCGCTACTACCGATCGAACGATTTAGCGAGGTCTTCGGACCGACGCCCGTCGGCCTACCGTCGACGGACGCGTGGGAAAGTCGACCGAACTTGATCGTTTAGAGGAAGTAAAAGTCGTAACAAGGTTTCCGTAGGTGAACCTGCGGAAGGATCATTAAAGTTCTTTCGTACGGAAGCGTAGACGCCCGACGTCGTCGCTTATCCGCGAAGAGCGAAAAACACTGACCGAACCGACGACGGAGACGCGCTCGCCCGCTCGCCCCCGATGATCGCCTTCCGGCTTATCCGCCGCCGCGTTTCGCTGCGCGGTGTCGATATCGGAACGGCGTCTCGGCGCGCGCGCGGTGGGCTCGTTCTTCGTCGTCGGTATTTTTTTCCGGCGAGAGCGAACGCGCCGTCACGGACGGGCTCCCGGACGCGCCACACGACCACGTTGTGTGCGCGTCCTGCGCGGGATCCGTTCGGCGTTCGCGATCGCCGGGTTTCGAGGTGCGCGAAGGGGATGATCGCCTCTCGCACGCGCGCGCACGCACGCTCTCGCGTTTCGATCGAGAATTCGACGCGGTCCGTGCCGCGCCGGCGGAGGCGTTTTGCGTTTCCTCGCCGCGCCCTCGAGCACAAAGCGCTGTCCGACACGCGGAGGGGCGAGAGCTCCGCGCGCGGAACTTTTCTGAAAAGGAAAAAAAAAACTGTAAAACACCTAAAACAAAGACTACCTCGAACGGTGGATCACTCGGCTCGTGGGTCGATGAAGAACGCAGCTAAATGCGCGTAGTAGTGTGAACTGCAGGACACACGAACATCGACAATTCGAACGCACATTGCGGTTCGGGAAACGCTCCGGCGTTCCGGGACCACGTCAGACTGAGGGTCGTCCTCAAAATAGGCCGCGGGGTTTTGCGCTCGTCTTCGCGATACGCGAGCGCCCCCCGACGTGTCCTGAAAGACTGCGGCGGTGCGCGCGCGCCCTGGCGGCGCGCACATCCGCGATTATTGGGAGCCTCGCGGCGCGCCTCCGCGCGCGTCGCGTCTCCTCGAGACGAGTCGGGCCCGCGCGGCGAAAACCGCGCGACGTCCGACGACCCGCATCGACTGCAGCGCGCGAGATGCTCGGGATAATCGCTTGCGGTCGACGTGTCGACGACGTGTCATAGTAGACCTTCGAGTCTCGCGAGACGTTCGTCGGCCGGTGCGACCCTATCCCTGCGCTCGCGCCCGTTCGACCGATCGCACAACACAAAACCAAAAGACGACCTCAGTTCGGGCGAGATCACCCGCTGAACTTAAGCATATTACTAAGCGGAGGAAAAGAAACTAACAAGGATTCCCTCAGTAGCGGCGAGCGAACAGGGAGGAGCCCAGCGCCGAATCCCACGGTCCGCCAGGGCCGATCGGGAAATGTGGCGTTAAGGAGGATCCGCAAGTCCCGACGTCGCGATAGCGTCGCGTCCAAGTCCTTCTTGAAAGAGGCCGAACCACCCGCAGAGGGTGCCAGGCCCGTAGGACCGTCGCCCGGCGTTGGGTCGGATCTCTCCCTAGAGTCGGGTTGCTCGGGATTGCAGCCCTAAGTAGGTGGTAAACTCCATCTAAGGCTAAATACGACCACGAGACCGATAGCGAACAAGTACCGCGAGGGAAAGTTGAAAAGAACTTTGAAGAGAGAGTTCAAGAGTACGTGAAACCGTTCGGGGGTAAACCTGAGAAACCCGAAAGATCGAAAGCCGAGATACAGCGTCCGCGCCGCCGGTGCAGCGGCGACGGCGTGCACTTCTCGGCCGGTAGGACGTCGCGACCCGTTGGGAGTCGCCGACGCGTAATGGGGTACGTTCGGGAGGCTCGAGGCGGCGCGGCGGGACTTGTTCCCGTCGTCTTTGCGGCCCCTCGAACCCGACGCGTCCTCGCCTAGCGTTCGGCACGCCCGACGCGACATTCAAAAACAGAACGATGCGTTCGTTCGGCGGTTGCGCTTTTGCGGCGCGCCCGGCTTCGTCGTCGCGCTCACGCGCCTCGGCGAATGTTCTCGGGCGTGCGCGCCTAATCGGCGCGCACACCGACGTCCGATCGTCAGCGACGCTTTTGCTTTGGGCGTTTTCAGGACCCGTCTTGAAACACGGACCAAGGAGTCCAACGTGCGCGCGAGTCAATGGGAGCAAACAGATAAACCCAAAGGCGAAGCGAAAGCGAAGGTCGGCCGGGGGCGGGGGGCAACTCTCGCATCCCGTCGGCCGTTGGGAGGATGGGTCGCGCTCGTCGCGATCCCGCACTCCCGGGGCGTCTCCGTCAGGCATCGTCGTCGACGTTTGCGCGTCTTCGTTCGGTGCCGGAGGCGCACCTCTAGCGCGCACGCTGGGACCCGAAAGATGGTGAACTATGCCTGGTCAGGACGAAGTCAGGGGAAACCCTGATGGAGGTCCGCAGCGATTCTGACGTGCAAATCGATCGTCAGAACTGGGTATAGGGGCGAAAGACCAATCGAACCGTCTAGTAGCTGGTTCCCTCCGAAGTTTCCCTTAGGATAGCTGGCGCTCGCTTTGCGAGAGTCTCATGCGGTAAAGCGAATGATTAGAGCGAATCGGGGTCGAAACGACCTCAACCTATTCTCAAACTTTAAATGTGTGAGATCTCCGGCTTGCCCGACATACGAAGCCGCGAGATCGGATCTAGAGTGCCAAGTGGGCCATTTTTGGTAAGCAGAACTGGCGCTGTGGGATGAACCAAACGTGAAGTTAAAGCGCCCAAATCGACGCTCATTGGAAACCAGAAAAGGCGTTGGTAACTCAGGACAGCAGGACGGTGACCATGGAAGTCGGAATCCGCTAAGGAGTGTGTAACAACTCACCTGCCGAAGTTACCAGCCCTGAAAATGGATGGCGCTTAAGCGTCGTGCTTATACTTCGCCGTTGGCGGCAAGGGCGTCGCTCCCTCGGGTGCGGCGCGAAGAGAGGCCCCGACGAGTAGGGGGGTCGCGACGGTGAGCGCAGAAGGACCGGGCGCGAGCCCGTCTGGAGCCGCCGTCGGCGCAGATCTTGGTGGTAGTAGCAAATACTTCAGCGAGCACCTGGAGGACTGACGTGGAGAAGGGTTTCGTGTGAACAGCAGTTGCACACGAGTCAGTCGATCCTAAGCCGCTAGGCGAAAGCCGACGTCGATGAGGCGCAGACGATCGCGTATGCGAAGGGGCCGGCGTCTCGCGCGCGCCGCGCCCTTTTTGTGTATCACAGTTCGCGCCTCAAGGGCGAAAGGGAATGCGGTTCCTATTCCGCAACCCGGCAACGGAACCGCCATTATTCGGGCCCTCGTAAGAGAGTTCGTCTGGGTAACCTAAAACGACCCGGAGACGCCGTCGGGAGGTCCGGGAAGAGTTTTCTTTTCTGTATGAGCGTTCGAGATCCATGGAAGCCCATAGTGGGGAGATATGGTTCGGAACGCGAAGAGCACCGCAATTGCCGCGGTGTCCGGATCGTCCCCTCGGACCTTGAAAATCCGGGAGAGGGCTACGAGGAGCGACCGTGCCGGCTCGTACCCATATCCGCAGCCGGTCTCCAAGGTGAATAGCCTCTAGTCGATAGAATAATGTAGGTAAGGGAAGTCGGCAAATTAGATCCGTAACTTCGGGACAAGGATTGGCTCTGAGGGTCGGGGCGTGTCGGGCTTGGCGCGGCAGCGGACGACGGCCAAAGACCGGGACCGAGCGAGGCGGCGTTCGCCTCACTAGCGGGGGCGTTCGTCGATCCGACCTCGGTACCGCGTTCGCAGGCCGCCCGCGAAAACGTCAAGCTGCGGGGCCCCGCGCTAGCGGTTTGTCGACTCCGGCGACGGGTTGGCCTCGGCCTTCCCTAGTCGGAGTAATACGGCTTCGTGATGCTCGGGACGTTCCCCCTTCGACCGCCGACAAACGACCGACTCAGAACTGGCACGGACAAGGGGAATCCGACTGTCTAATTAAAACAAAGCATTGCGATGGCCCCAGAGGGTGTTGACGCAATGTGATTTCTGCCCAGTGCTCTGAATGTCAACGTAAAGAGAAGACGTGTCGCTCCGTCTTCTCCGAAAATTTTTAAACGCGACATCGAAAATAGTAGTTTAGGGGTTCGCACAACCCCATTTAAGTTTAAAGTGAAACCTCCGCTGCTGTTTGGGGCGAGTGCTGGGTGGTTGGATAAGTGGCAAACATATTTCGCGGTAGTAGTGTGGTGCACGTGGGACAAATAGTGACTTTACACGCGAGTTTCGTAGTGAATTTGTGCAAACTTCCATCGTCCCGATCCGGCAAGGCAAAATAGCACATAAACTAACATCAATATTAATTATTATACGCAAAAATCCACTTTTAATTGCGGCCTTGTCGGATCCACGTGTTACCGCGCGCGATACCGCGAAGTTATCCGCCGGTTGACCTGTAAGGTCGCATTCCATCGCGTTATCCATATCTGCACGACCAGGTATCACCAGCCAGCTGAACAACATATCGCCATCATGGACAGGAAGAGTACTCCCCACCAACGGCGCGCGTCTCTATCCGGAGCACGCGCCCCGGGTTCAACTGAGCCCGGCCCATCGCCGTCCGCCATTGCTCGTAGTCAGCACGGTGTCGAGTCGTCTCCCGACACCAGGCGGACGGCACCGCCCCCCGACGTCGATAAGCCCCACAAGTGCGGCAAGTGCGGGCACGCCTGCCAAACCAAGAGCGGGCTGGCGAGGCACGTCAAAACTTGTGGAACCAGGCGGCAGGACGTATGCATATACTGCGGAAAAGCCTTTCCTACATATGCTGCAGTGCGTCAGCACGAGCACCGGGCGCACCCGGAGCATTTTAATGCTAGTATGGAAAAAGAAGCGAAACCCTCCGAGGCGGTGTTAATGGCCAAAATAGCCAAAGTTGAGGCCACCGCCTTAAGGGGGGTTTTTAACTATAAGGAAGCAGTGGCCACAACGGGCCTGTCTAAACACCAGATCCGTCACCGCCGGGAGCAGCCAGAATACCCAGCATACTTGGAGCGTGCAATCAGTGAGAGGAAGCGGCTCAGCCAGACCACATTTGGGTTTACCCCTCCCTCCGCAACGAAGCGCTCCAGTATATCTACAATGGGCCCACCAACACCTACGGCCCCCCCTGATGCTCCCGAGCTGGTAGTTTGTGGCCCGCCTGCTATACCGATACCCTATGCAGTCCCCCGCCTGGTTCCCCCCGCCATTCCGTCGACCTCCACCGCAGACGACGTGCCAGCCCCTACGCCAAGCGACATCGACCACCAAGATGTCAGCTCTTGGGCAGACGAGCCCGCACCGAAGGGGACGAAACGCCGAATCTCGTCCCCGCCGCAACAACCTCCGACGACGCGGCCCCGGCTTCAGGAGTCCCCACCTTGCGGCACCCCAACATCTTCTGCCGCCGCTGAGTCCCTCGGGACCAAACGTAAGAGGACCACTTCGACTCCCACACCACCGAGGGAGTCCCGCCTGAAGCCGAGGACGGCAGCCGTATCCCCCCCCTCCGCCGTCGAGGTTCCCGCGCCACCGACAAGATCAACAACGTCGCCCTGCATACCATCACCGGCCGCTCCCCCCCCTGTGGGGGGGGATACGAACATCGATCCAGCTCAGGACCCTCCGAGTCGAGATCCACTACCACCGCGGCTCCGAGAGGACGCCTCCTTCCTCGCCCGCCTGCTTTTGTTAAAGGGCGGGGCCGAGGAAGCCACCACCAAGAGGCTCCTCCATACGGCCCTCTCGGGCACCATACCTGAGCTGGAGGACGCCATACAGGGATACATGGAAGACCGCTTCCCGGTCCGGCAGAGGAAGCCGCCTAGAGTACGAATAAGGCCTATTCCACCTCCGCCACCAGCCACCAGCACGATACGAAGAGCTTCT